ACTTAAATCTTTTCATGTATTCTTTGTATTTCCAAATTACAGTTTCAGGTTCCTTCAACCACCCTATTACCAGTTTAGAGAAACCTTCAATTAACAATCTATCATAATTTAAATCTCTGGCAAGCTTTACTCCTTGCAGGACAGCTTGGAACTCTGCAAAAACCGAGTCCCCTACTCCAACTGGACCTGATAACACAGCAATAACATGACCTTTATAGTTTCTAAAAACTCCCCCTGTACCAGCCGGACCTGGGTTCCCTAGGCTGCAGCCATCAAAGTTCAGTTTGATAAATCCTTCATCCGGTGCTTTCCAGCCCACAACAGGTTTACTCCTTCTAGCAGAACTTCTAGCTACAGATTCCAAATTTCTCCACATATCATCAAAGGAGAAATCAGAAAATAACTTTAGAGACTTGGCCCACATTAAAGCGTAAGAAGCAATCCAGAACTGCTTTCCTTTTTTCTTTCTTTATCGTTGAACACCCTGCCATTCCTTTCCTCCCACACCGTCCAAATCAATGCAGCCCTGATACATCACAGAATTTTACCCCTTCTCTTTGGCCAACTGAAGGTCGTTGGTTCAAAGAGGCTTCTAATCTGAGTAGGCAAGCTCCACCTTTGACCAAGAAGCTCAAAAATCTTTTCCCAGAGGCTGTCAACAAAAGGGCAGGATATCAGAAGATAGTAGCAGGTTTCTCCACTTGCTTCACAAGGTACACCAGTTAGGGGACAGGCACATAAAGGGTCTTCTTTTTGGCAAAACATCCAGAGTGTTTATTTTCCCATGGAAAACTTCCCAGCACAAAGCCCCAACCTTGGGAGGAACAGATTTAGACCAGATTTCATCATCAGGGCAAGGAAGAGAGTTTGGGTCTGAACACAAGAAAGAGAAAACTGAGGCACAAGAAAAACGACCTTTGGGGTGTGGAATCCAAATCTGGCCATCTGATTTAGAGAAATCCAGGGCAACAGAATCAAGAATTTGTAACAACGAGGTTGCCCTTTCTGATTCAAGGTCCCTTAAATTTCTTCTTAACCCTAAGTTCCAGCTTAACCCTGTCAGCTCAGAAAGGGAAACAAACTGAGAGAGGTTCTTTTTTAAACAAAGAAAGAGAAAACAAAGAAGGGAACAAATCTTTAAGGGTTGAATTACCAATCCAAAGGTCCTCCCAAAAAAGAACCTTATCTCTAGAGCAAACATCATAGCTGATTTGGCTTAGGAACTGAGGAAGCACTCCACAAATAGATTTCCAAGGAGAAGCAAAAGTAGCCCTCGACGATACCCCAGCATCCCAGCCATTGCCTGCAGAACCATGGATACTACCAATCACCTCCTGCCACAATCTTCCCCTCTCTTGATTACACCTCCAAAGCCATTTACCTAGTAGAGAGGAGTTTTTCTTATTTAGATTTCCTATCCCTAGACCCCCTTGATCTTTACTTTTACACACTACAACTCATTTGATTAAATGATCCTTTCTACCTTCCCCTGGTTTCCACAAAAAATCTCTCATCAACTTTTCTAGCTTCATCACTTCCCTCCGTGGCATTCTAAACATCAATAAATGATAGATTGGCAAATTTGCTAATGTGGATTTTATCAGTGTAATTCTACCTCCCATCGAAATATAATTTATCTTCCAGACAGCCAATCTCTTAGAACACCTTTCCACAATTGGATTCCAAAACCTGCTTTTTTTCGGATTGTCTCCTAGTGGCATCCCAAGGTATTTCAATGGCCAAACAATTATCGGGCATCCTAAAGACTGCTACTTCCTTTAGCTCCTCTTGCTCCAAATTCCTTCCTACCACACAACTCTTCTCGAAATTTATTTTCAACTTAGACATATGTTCAAACAACTTGATCACCTCCTTCAACTGCCTTGCCATTAAAGGATCCCCACCATCACAGAAGATAATTGTATCGTCTACAAACTGTAAATGTGTCACCACTGTATTAAGCCTGCCTACTCTCCAACCTTTAAAAAGGTCCATCAAATCTGCTCTTAGGAGGAGTCTACTAAATACATCCACTATTAGGGTAAAAAAGGGGGACAGGGGATCCCCTTGTCATAATCCCCTAGTAGCTGGGAAGAAATCTCTCCCCACGCCATTTACCAGTACCGAGTAATGACAGGTTTTCAAACAACCTTCAATCCATCCACAACATTTCTCCCCAAAACCATAACATTTCAATACTTCCAACAGGAAAATCCAGTCCACCATGTCATAGGCCTTCTCCAAGTCTAATTTACACACGAAACCTTTTCTCCTCCTCCTATAATCCTCGACACATTCATAAGCTATCAGAATTTGTTCGGTAATTTGTCTACCTTGAACGAAAGGTCCTTGAGAATGTGAAACCAAATTATGGAGGACCTCTTTCAACCTCAACAATACAACTTTAGACAAAATTTTATACAAGCTAGTCACCAAACTAATAGGTCCAAAATCTCTAGGACTAATAGCATCATCCTTCTTAGGTATCAAAGCCAAGAAAGTGGAATTGATCCTAGGGCTAAGGAAATGTTCCTCAGCAAATTCCTCAAAAACTACAAGCAAATCAAATTTAATTATCTCCCAACAGTCTTGGTAAAAAGCCATTGTCAAGCCATCCGGTCCCAAAGCTTTAGACCTATCCATTGAGAAAACTACCTTTCTAATTTCTTCCAGCTCAAAGTCCTTTTCTAGCATCCTTGCCACTTCTGGGTCCAACCTTGGCCAGTCTAATCCTTCCACCATCACTCAACTTCGTATATAATCTCTTAAAATGCTCCACAAAACATTGGCTCCTCGAGATTTCACCATTTATTTCCAATTTATCCACAAAATTTTTCCTTCTTCCATTGGCTATTGCATGAAAAAACTTCGTATTGCCATCACCCTCCTTAATCCACTTATGTCTTGACTTCTACCTCCAACAGATCTCTCTAAGTAATATTTCCTCTAGCTCCTTTTCTAAGGTCCATCTTAAGCTTCTTTCCTCCTTAATCATCAACCTTTGACTTTCCTTTTGATCCAACTGCTCAATTCTAGAGGTCACATTCAATTTTCTTTCCTCAACTCTTCCAAAAACATCCCTATTCTACTCCTTCAACTTGCCTTTTAAACGCTGTATCTTTCTGTGAAACCTTACTCCTTTCCAATCAAAAGCCCCCACCTCCTCATTCCACCAATCTTTCACTCTGCTAGTAAATTTGGGATGGGTGAGACACATATTTTCAAATCTAAAAGGAGTAGGACCTGCCAAAAAGTCTTCTGTGCCTATTCTAATTGGACAGTGATCTGAAGTAACCCTAGGCAAAACCCTCACCATCAATCCGCCCCAGTACTCCTCCCAAGCAACATTGAACACAAATCTGCCCAGCTTTGAACACAAATTGAGGAGGCTTGAAAATTGGACCAAGTGAATCGGGACTTCTGAATTAGTATTTCTTTTAAACTCATTGAACCTTCTCATGCTTGTGGAAATCACTTGATTGGGGTTGTTTGTCTCATTTGTAAATATTATCACATTAAAATCACCTCCTAGGCACCACGGCCCCTCCCAAAGACCCCTAATATCATAAAGCTCCTCCCACAATTGGCCTCCTTCGCTATACCTAACTGGCCCATATATGTTTGATTGCACCCAAGTGAAACCATCCCTCACATTCTTGAATTTTATAGACACTGAGAATTGGCCAATTACCTCTTCTAGAGATTCCAAATCTTCATTTCTCCACATTGTGAGCAAGCCACCAAAAGCTCCCCAAGACGACACCGCCACCCAACTTCTCTCTCTAGAACTCCACACACTTCTGAACCATCTCCTATCCATATCTGCTACTTTTGTTTCCTATAACATCACTATATCTGAAAATCACACACCAACTATCCTGTGAACTCTAAAAGTTGGGATAGGTATGGAATGGTCTGTGAACTCCAAAAGTTGAGATCCGAATGGATATCGAATGGCCTGTGAACTCTAAAAGTGGGATCCGAATGCTAGAGAATGTAAGTTTGGAATGATGGTTTCAGGATGCAAATAGGGAGTTAGAATTGCTAGTTGCCAAAAGGTCCCTTCTCAAGAGACTTATGTCTCCCATTTATGGGGAAGGGTTGGCCATGCAAGTATGCATAGCCTGGAGAATATTCGAGATCATTCCAAGGGAGCTAGTTATGGCAGCAAATCCCAGGTTGTCTTCAGGGAGAGACACGTGAAGAGTGGGGGACCAGATACTTGCCTGTACAGGCTTTGTCTAAAACCACTCTTACAATCTCACTACGTGACGTAATCGCAGTTCCAGGACCTGCCATACACTAGTCATTGTGTTATCTTTCTTGTAGGGTAAGTCATAGACATGGACTCAAGATCTCATTAACCCAGCAAATCCAAGATTAGGGAGTCCCCAATAATGGGAACAACTTCACGAGTTTACATCTCAGCAAAGCTGAAGCTAACAATTCTAAATAGCATGCTTCTATTCCCAGATCTAGCTCTACTATGAGTCTAGAGTCCCAGATTCGTGAGTCTCAATACCCATAAACACGAGATCCACGATGCCATATCAGAGCACTACATCAATGTACATATCTATTCTCTTACATCTCCCCTGGCAAAACAACAAAGATTTCTATCTGTTTAGTAGAAATTGAATGGAGCATTTGGCCTATTGCTCTCAGCCATTAGCCCTCATTTTGAAAACGAAATCAAAAGATTGAAGTTTCCAAAAATCTAGAGGCTATATATTAGTGTTTTAAAAGGCATGGGAGGCGTGCCTCCAGGCGAGGCACCCCAAAAACACCCTAAGGCGTATGCCAGAGACACTGATACCTCTGAGGCTTACACCACATACGCCTTTTTCATGAAGCGTGCTAGAGGCATACGCCTCATGCACCTCATGCACATTTCATATAAAAAGACAAAAATAAAGAAAAAATAAAGAAAAAAAGGAAAGGAAAGGAAAGGAAAAAGAATGAGAAGAAAAAAGAGAAAAAGAAAGAAAAGAAAAGGGAAGTGAAGGGAAGAAAAGATTGAATCATGTGAATATAAAAGACTTTTATTAAAAATAAAGAAAAATAAGATCCTCCTTCCTCTTCTTCCTCCTCTTCTTCCTCCTCCCCTTCCTCCTCTTAAGGAGACTTACGCCTCCTTGTGTTCAGGAGTAAGAGAAAGAGTATTTGATGAGGAGCTCAACCAAGTGCTTTCTAATAAGGATAATAAGGCAGTTTGGAAAAAACAGTCAAAGGGAGAGTTTTGAATTAGAAAAAGTATGGGATAGAATAATAACAAGATTGAACGTGTGAAAGGCTGTAAGTAGGTATGAAATAGATATATTCCTCTAGAAATATCTTTCGGCGGTTGGAGAATTCTTAAAAAGAAAGCTGCAGGTTGACACTAATGTCAAAGCTTTGGGTGTTCAGTTTTGCTCAATGTTTGTATGTTGTAGAGAGCCGGATATGGAAACCATGAATCTTTTTTTTTTTTTGAGAGGAAAAACAAATAAAAAAAATAAAAAAATAATAAATGATTCATGGTTTCCATATCATTTATTCATTGATGGTATTCTGGAAAATAAAGTTTGGGACTAGTTTTGCTAGTAATCCTGGGTCTCTAACATAAGCAATGAATCAAATGTAGAAGGTGAGGAGATGGCAAAGTTATATCTAAAGATAGAAATAACCATTGGGGTTTGATAGTAGGTATTCTACCTACTATTATTTTTTTGCGGGAAATTTTGAAAGAACATAATAGAAGAATGGAAGGCATGTTCACTACATGTTCATCTGTGATTTATAAATCTGATGATGGGTAAGGGAGCTGAATCATCCTTCGAGGCTATAGTATTTGTTGGAGAGAATTAATAAGGCCATGATGGGTATTGATTGTACTGATGTACTCTTATCCATAATTTCAAAAAAAGGTCATAGGATTGCTGATGCCTTGGCTAACAATGTTTGTAATCAAGGTTGCAACTGCATATGTATTAGTACCAACAAACTGCCTACTAAGGTTGTTGCTGCATTAAGAGATGCTCAGATGAGGCTGCCTTGTACAAGATGGAAATAATCCCTTTTGATTTGATTATTTGTTTCTTTTCTTTTACTGTTACAGTGATCATCAGACATTTCATAATATATATTTTATTAGGTGATGATCCTTATTTATAGATTTTCTAGAGGGATAAGATGTTTAACTCCCCCACCCGGCCACCCCATAGGATTTGTCTACAAAATTAATAAAATTTCATGGTGGTGGTGGCCAACCCTCCACTGAGTACAATCTGGGTATTAAAAGAGAAAGATACAACCATAACTATGGTGATGAATTATTTTCTTTTTTTTTTTGGATCAATACATGGTGATGAATCATTTCCTTAACTATGCTAAGTGTAGCCTTTTAGTACACATATTATAACATGCATACATATATATTATTTGCGTTCCGCAGTCTTTGTAACTTGCCACAGTTGGATATTTAGAGGATCAGGGCCCACCTTTGGATGGTACCACCAAATTGAAAAGCCTACACCAAAAATCAACATGATTACATGACTACGACCATCTGCTTTAGGTAAAATTTTAAGACCTTCCTGAGAATTTCAACAACTTTACTCCAATCTGGGGAGAAAACACAGACCACAACATGCTTTGAGCTGACTTTTGGCATAGTTAATCTCTATGGTGGGACACATTGATGGTGTGCCTTGATCCTTTGAATGTAGAATAGGGCTCCAGACTAATTCACAAAGCACCAATGGAAAGTAAATATAAAAGAGTTTACATACCTGCATTACAATTCAATGCTGGCTTTGTCTTGCATTTTCTAGGGTTACTTTCTCTGAATAGATGCAAGTTTACAAGCTGTCAGTATATTATTCATCAATAATATTCATGGTTAAAAAAACTAAGAAATAGCATGTTGAAACAGAATCTCGGATGCAATTCTTGACCATTGGTTGTGCTTCTAAATATAGATAGGTTACTTTATTAAGATGCACATGTAGCATCATAATTTAAAAAACTGATGGGCAGACTTATGTGAACCTTTCTATTATTTAAAGGCAAAGGAGCCACATTTTACACAAATTTGGCCCATGTAGTAAGCCCATATAGGGTACTTGATGGGCCAAGAAAACATCCTACAGAGGTCAAATTTGAACTTTTCTAACTTTTTTGGACAGTAAGGGTATTTTGGTCATTTTAACATGTGCCTGTAGGGTCCAGCTATTAGTCTGACGTGTCTAGTTGTCTAGTCATATTTACTCATGTTTAAATTTTCAGTCATTTTTTGTGTCTGTAGGGTCCGGCCTATTAGTCTGAGGTGTCTAGGTGTCTAGTTTACTCAAAAAAAGGCCACCCTCAAAAAAGTACTATCAGTTGTATCCTCTTTAAAACCTGTGTATAGACAACCAGCTCCTAACAAGCTCTATGACCCTGTTAATGACCTCATCTTCAGAGGAGGCTTTGAGATAAAAAGTCCTACTGTTCCTTTGAGTCCACACTGCCCACAGAATTGCCAAAGGAATAGAGGACCAGCAAATTTTCCCTTCCTCGTCATCCCTGATATGTGCCAAGCCTCCAAGCATGCTTTAACTGAGGCAGGCATGCTCCAGCTTACCTTTAAGATCTTTAGAAAATAGTTCCAAATCACTGTTACAAATTTGCAGTGTAAAAACAGATGGTTAATTGTTTCTGTCTCCACAGTGCACAGACTGCATCTCAAGTCATTGCAAATAAAACCTCTCAGCAACAACTCTTTGGTGAGGCACTTCTCTAATATTGTCACCCAAACAAAAAATTTAACTTTAGAAGGTGCAATTGTCCCCAAAATGGCCCTGCTAGGAAAAGGTGTGCTTTATTTTCTCCTACCAAAATGCTGTAGAAAGATTTAACTGAGAACACTCCTGATCTTTTCCACTTCCACACTATTGAATCCTGATTTTGTAAATTTAGAGTCTGATCTTGGAGTCGATCTAGGAGATTTCCTACCTGTTGAATATCCCAATCACTAAAGTCCCTTCTAAAAGTAGTCCAGCAGATGTTATCTCTCCTCTGCACAAAAGAATCAGCTACCAGCACCTCTTGTCAGCTGCCAAATTAAACAGAGTGGGAAACAGCTCTTTTAGAGAGCTCTCCCCAGTCCAAGGATCTAGCCAGAATCTGATCCTTCTGCCATCTCCAATTTTAAACCTAATGCAACATTTGAAATGGGTGGTGTCTCTATAGATTCCTTCCCACAGGATACAACCATAAGTCAAAAGTGGAGGTCCACTGTCCCAACCATTATTATCCAGCCCATATTTTTCAGCTATTACCTTTTTTTTTATCAATAACACAGTTCATTAATTATCACAATGGGAATTACAAAGAGGAAGACAAACTTTCTTATCTTCCAACTTCAGCTTGAGCCCCAAGAAATGAAAAAGAGAGAAAGAGAAAAGGAAAAAGGAAAAAGGAAAAAGGAAAAAGGAAAAAACAGATTTGAATTACAACTGTTCCCAGAACATTGACTCCCTGTCCACCCCTTGTTTAGCTAACCCATCAGCAAAAGAATTAGCTGATTTTTTTACCCAACTAATTTTAACTCCATTTCTCGAACCAGCCATCTGAATTTCCTTCTCATATTGCTATATCTCCATAAACCACTATCGTCCTTATTCAGCCACCCTACCACCACCTCCGAGTCCCCTTCAATTATGAGTTTTCTGAGATTCGTCTCCCTAGCTTTCTGGACTCCTTCCGAGACTGCATGGATCTCAGCTCGAAGGGAGTCACCCCCTTCATTAAAGTTTGTGAATAGCTCTAGGGATTTCATCCAGTATACAGCCCTTATATGGATCAGGGCCCTCAGATCTTCAGCACTTCACTCTTCTTCCCATAAAGACCAACAGACTGCTGCCCTCAGTCCTCTCCACATAGTCCTTCCCCTTTTCATACACCACCTGAAAAAAGGAGCAAAAAGACTTCGCATATTTGATGGGGGATTCCAAGTACACCCAAACAGAGAGAAAGCCCACTCCCAAATAGATTTTGCAAATTGGCAAGACACCAGTAGATGGAAACCAGTCTCCCCATCAGCTTTACAAAGAACACACCAATGAGGGGATAAACAAGAATTGGGTCTCTTCTTTTGGAGAAAATCACCAGTGTTGATTCTTTCCAGAAATGCTTCCCAGCAAAAACTACCAACCCTAGGAGGAATTGGTCTGCACCAAACCTCATTAACAGGGAAGGGGGGATACAAGATTGGTGGACTGGCTTAACAATTTAAAGGAGGCACAGGAAAAAAATCCAGTAGGGGTGGGGGTCCAAATTTTAAAGTCTTACTTAGTTGGGTCTTAGAACACATTATCAAGAAGTTGGAGGAGACTCGAAACAGTGTCAAGATCTGAGTCTCTCACAGCCCTTCTCAGACCCAAATTCCAACCAAACCCAGAATTGGAAGAGGAAGGGGTGATGAAAGAGGAAGTTGTCTCATTTTTAAAAACAGATAGGGAATACAAAGAAGGAAACCAGTCCTTTTAAAGGGGCATTCCCCACCCAAGTTTGTTCCTAGAATTTTATGGAATTACCTGAATTCAAATCATACCTGATAAGAGGGGAGAAATCATGAATGGCTTTCCAAGGCAAAGCGCTTGTGGTCCTAGCCAACTACTATTACCTTCCTCCAAAGGTTATCTGGTTCAGCACCTCCAGTGCCAATTACCTAATAAAGCTAGGTTGAAAGACTTTAGATCTCTTATCTCCAAGCCCCCTTGTAAATGGGGTTTGCATATCTGACCCCAATTCACTAGATGATACATGTGCAAATCTTTCAGTTGGAAGGTTTAGAGATGTTGCAATGAAAAGAAGAAGAGGAAGCATCGAGAATGCTTGGTGTGTTACTATTCACACCAAGAGACTTTTCATTTTACTTCACAAGTAAATTACAAAGGTGCCCTTGAATAGGCACTCAAATACAAATATTCATAGCAAGACAGAAATGCCCTCACACTCTTAACACTCCCCCTCAAGTTGAGCATAGATATTTATCATGCCAACTTGTTCAAATTGTTGTCGAGCTTTGATTTGGGAACATCTTTAGTAAGACAATCAGCCAACTGGTCTTCAGACCTCACATAAGGTAGACAAATCTCTCCACTGGCAACTCTTTCTCTAATGAAATGTCAATCAACCTCTATATGCTTTGTGCGATCATGTTGTATAGGATTGTGGGCTATGTTTATGCAGTGATTTAAAAGGCGCACCTAGGTGCTCAGGCGAGGCGCATTTTAGGGTAGGCACCTCGCCCAAGTCCTAGGTACAGCCCATTCAAAAGGCGCACGCCTGGTGTGCCTAGGTGTGCGCCTGGTGCGCCTTGCGCCTTAGCCCAGGCATGCACCTTTTGAAAATTTGCCACTTTTTCTGGTCGTTGGGCCGAGGGCTCCGCCCCCGGACCCCCGTGCCACGCCCCTCGAGGCCAGCCCAAACAAGTCCATGTTAGGGTCTTAAATTCTTAGATTTCACACAAAAAATAATAATTTTATAGTTTTAATTGCTTTTAAGAAGATATTTTTTTAAGATGAATGAATGGACAACATTACCAAATAGGGGATTCTCAAAGCTTCTGTGAGCGAGCAAAAGACCCTAACATGGACTTGTTTGGGCTTGCCTCGAGGGGCGTGGCACAAAGGCGGCTCGTAGAATTAGGAATGTAATATGTCACATTAGCTACTTGATGCAATTAAGAAAAAAAAAAGAGATTGTGGGCTTTATATGCTTGAAAATGTTTTATATGTTTGATTTCATTTTTAAATTCTCATTTGAATATGCTTTACATATTATATTTATGTATTTTAATTTTAAATAATAGGTTTTTTAAAACTTAAGTTAATATTTTTATTAATATTATCTTTTATAACTTTTTATTTTTTTTTTTATTTTTTGCATTTTTTTGCATTTTTATCTTTTTTTTTAAATTGTGCGCCTTGCCTCAAAAAGGCGCGTGCCTCGCCTTGCGCCTTAGGCGCAAAATGGCCCTTGTGCCTTGCGCTATTAAAATACTATGTTTATGGTAGCTTGATTGTCACAATATAATACAATTGGATCAATCTGCACTCCCATTTCTGTCAACAAGTTCTTCAACCACAACAATTCTAAGACTCCATGCGCTATAGCTCTGTACTCTGCATCTGCACTAGATCGAGCCACCACTGATTGCTTCTTGCTTCTCCAAGATACAACATTACCACCCACAAAGGTACAATAGCCAGAAGTAGACTGCCTATCATCACTAGAACCTGCCCAATCAGCATCAAAATAGGCCTCTACCTTTAGATGCCAATGATTAGAACACAACATCCCCTTTCCTGGACATCCCTTCAAATAGGCAAGTATTCTATTCACTGCTTGCATATGAGATGATCTAGGCTTGTGCATGTATTGGCCGACCACAATTACAGCATATGATATATTTGGTAAGTCAGAAACAAGTAGAAAAGGCAACTAACAAGTCTGTGATACACACCTTTGTCAGGAAGGACATCTCCATCATCAACTCCCTACTTATGATTGGGATCAATTGGAGTTCAGCCGGTTTACAATCCAATTTTCCTACCTCCTAAAGCAAATCAAAGACATATTTCCTCTGAGAAATATAAATGCCCCTCTTTGACCTTGTGACCTCAATCCCTAGAAAACACTGGAGACTTCCGAGATCCTTAATTTCGAATTTAGTAGAAAGGAAAGACTTCAGTTCAGCAATCCTAGAGACATCATCCCCTATGATAACAATATCATCAACATATACTATCAACATAGTCTATTTTTTCCATTTGCTCTCCTAATAAACAGGGTATG